CAACGCGTGGACCCGCAGGACGACGGGCAGGGTGCCGCTGCACAGCGTCCACCCGTCGGCCTCGCAGGACAGAGGTGAGCCGATTATTGACGAGCCATCGGCGGCGATTCGGGCTTGTGCACGTGTTGGCGAGTGCCTGCTTGTACTTTGACATCTTGGACAACGTCGCTGGGCCACGAGGAATGATTGTTCTCAAGCGGCGACATTTTCGCAGGCCAGCATGTCGACATTTGAGAGGACCCCTCGCACTCCTCCCTCTCCTTCGCGCGAGCACCACGTGTTGATTGCTGACAACTGCTACTTTAGTAGCAGTTAGCATGTAACCTCTCCAGTCTCCTCCCCCCTCCCCGCAACACCGCGACCGCGGCCTCCTCCCCCTCCCTGGGAGGGATGCCAACGTCGGGCCGCTGGGGAGCCGCACTCGTTTGTAGTCATTCCCTCGCCTCTGGAAAGCCGATTTTGTCCTGACTTAGCCATGTGGTGCTGGTGGAATGTTTGGAGAGGATAGATCAGGGGTGAGCAATTCCAGTCCTGGAGGGGCCGCTATCCCGCATGTTCTCAGTCTCTCCCTGTTGCAACACAGCTGATTCTACTGATCAGATCATCAGCAAGCTCTGTGGACGCCTGATCTGGAAGCTGTTCATTTGAATCAGGTGTGTTACAACAGGGAGATTTGGAAAACATGCAGGACGGCGACCCTCCGGGACTGGGATTGCCCACCCTTGGGGTAGATGATCCCCCGCAACGCTTCGAGTTGGACATATTTATGAAATTTGTCAACTAATCGGTGCATCGCACTACACCTCCCTCCCTCAGCCCCAATTTTTCAGAGTCGATTCACCTCCTGACGCGTGTGGTGGTTTTTGGTGTGTGTGAGTGGCGTTGTATGCACCAAACGACAAAATGATCGTCTTCAGTAAGATGTGCCAGCCATTTTGATTTTCACATTTCGCCACAATTTCCAAGTTTCCGTGCACATTATTATTTTTTTCTTTCTAAGAGCAGTCACATTTTTTCGTCCTTTTGTGCTGCACCAATACACAACTAACCAATTTTGCGATATTTTTTTCTCTTCGTTTTATTGCTCAAAAATGTTGGGTGACACGCCACATATGTTCACATGAACAAAAAAAAAAAAAATCAATCGAGAAAAGCAACCACCACGTTCCATTTGTGGATTCTTCTTGTTACTGAATCGACATCAAAGCGTGGAAAGGCATACCAGATTGACATCGCGGCCTGATTTCTTGGATGGAAGGGATTGAGCACGTTTACCTCACAGCGCAGAGGTGCAGCGTTCCGATTCCGGCTGCGGCCTTCCTGTGTGCCGCTGGCATGTTCTCCCCGTGCCTGCGCGGGGTTTTCTCCGGGTTTCCTCCCACATTCCAAAAAAACACGCACCGCCGGTTATTTGTACACTCTCAGTTGTCCTCGGGTGTAATTGGGAGTGCGACTGGTCGTCGAGCCGTGCGCATCCAGTAGCCAAGAGGCGGGCGGCACTGCCATCAGGCGCGCGAGCACGCTTCACAACGACTTCATTTTTGCGACAAAAATGTAGCGTTCGTACTTCCCCAGAACGGGCTGTTAAAATTTATATTCTGGATTCATTTGTCGTTTTAATAACGGGTGTCGCAAAGATGCCTCCGTGATGTCAGAAAGGTCCAACGTCTGCGGGCGACGCCGTTTGCCATGTCCGTCAAATCGAATGCACGCGCAATCGCCCTGATGCCAAATCGGTCCATTGCTTGCTTATTCGGCGTTCGGTCCCCGATTGCGTGACGCTGATCGGCAAACCGGTTGTTCGGCGTACAATTTCTCTCAACAGTCAGTCATCCAAGTCATTGTTGATTTAATTTGATGATTTTTTTTTTTAAGCATCAAAAGCATAAACATCATTTTTTGTTGTATATAAGGGAGTTGAGACCAAAGTCATCTTCCTTCTTTTGCAGTCTGCGTGGCCATTTCAGCCAAAGAGAAGGGGGTGGAGTGGGGTTGGGAGGGGGTTGCCGCGCGAAAGCGCAAATCTCAATTTTTTTGTGGCATTTTTTTGAAGCCTATTCAAAAAAATAATATGGATTTAAAAAACATCCTGTCCCTGAGCCTGGAACATATTTGAAAGGTTGCTCTTGGAGCGCCTTACGCGAGTGTTTGTGAGGTTAGCGTCGCTATATTTGACCGTCGCGGCATCGTTTTACAGCCAAGGATTCTCGTGGGCGCCCGGGCCGGCCCTTTTGGCCTCTTATCTCGTCAGCCGTCCTCTGGCAGGCGATAGGGCCCCGGCCACTGCCGGGGGCCACTCCCAACACACACACACACACACACACACACACACACACACACACGCGCGCTAAAGCCCTTGAATGAGGCAGGCGGAGGATGTTTAACGCTTCAACATGGTGCACACACACGGCAAGAGACTTTTTTTGTTGTTGTTGTTTTTCCTCCAGACTTTAAGCCAATTTGCTCTTTGGAAGCGAACACCACGTGTAACTTATTGATCGTCTGTCTGCAGATCAGCAAAACGCTCTGAAGGTCATCCGTGCCAGCAAACCCAGAACCAGAAAATCCAGCAAGGTAATGAGAAGTTTTTTTTTTGGGGGGGGGGGGTATTTGTTCAACCTCACATCAAGAATAGCAAACAGTACTGGCTGTTATCCATGTTGTAAAAATGAAGCGTTTGACATGTTTGCAGCTCTGAAGGACCTGTTACAAAATGTAAAAAAAAAACAAGAAAAAAACGGGTTTTTTTTGGAGGGTTAAGGGGGTTGTATTCAGTAGCGGTGTCGTTCGTGAGACCGGCAGAGTCGAAGGGGGCGCAATCTCCTCCCCTTCGCTCGGCTTCCCCGCAGGCGGCGGCGAGAGCGGCGGGCTTGACTTTCTCGATTGTTCGGAGGGAGAGGCGAAGCCGCAAGAGGCTCCGTAAACGCGGCCGCCTCCTCGCCAAAGAGCCGAGAGAGCGGCAGACAGGTTTGCGACAGGTTTGACGCGTCCGAACCACTTCCCGGCGGCGCATCGAAGAGTCGAAAGCGTTTGGTGACGAAGCAAGCGCGTTCCTGCGCCGGCTGCGCGTCAGCGGCTCATCCAGCAGTCGATGAGAGAAATGGCTCGCCGAGACGAGCGATGACGGAACTGCGCCCGCACCTCGTTTTTTTGCCCGCGCAAGCCTATAAATAACCGTGGCAATGTCTTGTTTACATTCTTTTTCTCTCTTTTTCTTCCTCTATTTTCTCTTGGTCTCTCTTTCCCTCTCTCTTCCTTTGTCTCTCTCTCAGCCCCATTTTCTTATTTCTTTCTATTTACATTTCTCTTTTTCTCTCTCTCTGAATATCCCCCGTTCGTACTGCGTTTGTCGCTCTTTTGCTGGGAGTTAAAAAAGAAAAAAAAGAAAGCTTCAAGGTTGATGAAATGTTACCCGGTATGGTAGCCGATGTGTTTTGGTCGCCTCGCAAGTGAGCGCGAGCACCCCTTGCGCTCGCCCGGATCGAAAGTGGCCTCCCAGAAGAGGACGAAAAGAACGATTTACGCCACGGCGATGGCTTCGCGGAAGGGGACAAAAGAAGTTGTGGGCCACTCAGGGCTGGGAAAAGCCACACCTGCCGCCGCTGCCACCGTGCAAAAGCGTCTTATTGGGCCCCGAACTCCGGCGTGGTGACACATGGCGATGGTTTTGTGCCGCCGCGTCTGTTCCGCTGCTCCAAAGCAAACACACAAGATAAATGTTGACGCGCCATCAACACAAGCAATGGGGAGGAGAAAAAAAAAATAGCGTCACTTTGATGAAGCCTCTTCTTTTTTTTTTTTGTAAAAAGCATCAAAAATGCTACTATTGATCAAGCAAGCCCATCTCCGCCCCCGCAAGCCTTGCCGCGCTCCGCTTCTTGCCGTCTCTCTCCAACCACATCAAATGATTTCATTTTTTATCCAAAAGGGACAATTTGGCAACGCGTTTTGAGCTGCGCGGGGGCGTGTTGGCTCAGAGCGAAAGCCTTCACCCGATCTCGCTTGTCCAAACTTTGCAAGTCCAAAGTGAACGTGGCGTCAACTCTGCAACCGGTGACCTAATTTTGCTGCCTCTTCTCTCTCTTGTCTGTCTCTCTCCCTCGCTCGCTCCCTCTCCCGTCAGTCGGGTGACTTTGGCGACATCACAAACTGGCCGACGCCCAGCGAACTGGCCAAGGAGGTAAGACCAGCAGCTCGCGTTCTCTCTCTCTCTCTCTCTCTCTCTCTCTCTCTCTCTCTCTCTCTCTCTCTCTCTCTCTCTACGAGAAGAAACCGCAGACTTGTTTCATGCGCGCACTGGTAGATTGAAGGTAGTGAACAGCACAAAAAGAGCTCAGTTGTGTTGTTTTTAATGGAATGTAAAAAATGATTGCATGGCAAATTGGAACGGATGATTCTTTTTTGGGGGTTGTTGCCCCTTTGACAAAGACTTTCCCGACTGGAGTCGCGAAAGTGCTTTCAAGTATTTTTGATGCGGCCGATTTAGCCTCAAGCTGGACCGAATGAAGTGGCTGGGTCCATTCGCGGTGGCGAGGTCACGGGATGCTGTGCGAATAGCATGCAAGTGATTGGAATTGACTCCCAATTATTGTTTTTTTTTTTTTTTTTTTTTTTT